TATAACGTATAACGTATTAGTCTGATTTTTAACCTAAATAGGTGATAATTAACTTTATAAGGTCATATAAGATAAGTGAATCTGATGCTTTCAAAATAATAAGGAGGTGAAGGGAAGGGGAAAATAAGAATTGACATATGTTATGTATGGGTACCAATTTACCACTATGAATGTAACCATTATGTACCACAACATCTCCTAATAAAATATAACGTATTAGTCTGATTTTTAACCTAAATAGGTGATAATTAACTTTATAAGGTCATATAAGATAAGTGAATCTGATGCTTTCAAAATAATAAGGAGGTGAAGGGAAGGGGAAAATAAGAATTGACATATGTTATGTATGGGTACCAATTTACCACTATGAATGTAACCATTATGTACCACAACATCTCCTAATAAAAATTGTTAAAAATTTAAAAAAGAGATTACCAATTACAACTCAATAGGCAAGGAATATAATAGTAAAATACTATAGAAATATAGTAAAAGGAAACATGCCATTTTCTTGCTTTGCAAGTATTAGATGGGACATAGAGATTGTGTGATAATTAGGGTTGAGACAAAGAAATAAATCATTCTATAAACAAATGCAGCACACACTTGAACACAGTCATATATTTATACGTACATACATGCATGTAGACATATGTGTGTTGTACACACATATTTAGGGTACTTGATTTGGGGAGCTGATTTCACACTCCACAAATGGCTACTGTCTGTGCCCTGGCCTGGCATACTTTTTTTCTGTAAAAGGACAGATAACAAATATTTAACAATTTGGGAGACACACAACTTCTATAACACAGTAGCAGCCCTACATATTTCATAAATAAATGAATGTGACTGTGCTTTCATAAAACTTTACCCCCCAAAAAAACCCCAATTAATTGAATACAGTGTATAAAGTGGGTCATGCAAATGCAGAGGCCTGGATTTAACTGGGTGCACAGCTTGCCAGTCTCTGTCATCGTTGCCCCTGGTTCTAGAGCCTGAAGTCAAGAGGGAAGATAGCCGGGCAATGCAGACTGATGTGAAGTCGGGAAGAGCAAAAGCAAACTGGGGGCCACATAATAGAGGATGGCCCAGAATTTGCCTCAGCCTTTCTGTATCTTTAAGCCTTCAGCTTCAAGGATGTTTGAGTACTGTAGGAGAAGTGATTGTCTTTCATCATGAAGCTAAACCCACGCACAATCTAGAAGTGGCAGCAACTGCTGCTAGTTTGTTTGCTCTGCCCAAGACCAAGAAGGTGGGCTAGCAGGTCGGTGACACAGGTATGTCTGCCACAGCATCTGGCACCCCTCGTCGACCTTCTGAGTGTAAAATGAATATGGCTTCTGCTTTAGTTCAACCTTCCAAAACTCATGCAAAAGTGTCTTTTGTGATGCACACCAACTTGGAGCAATGCACGAAAGGAGACTCTGGGAAGAAGCGCTCCAGCTGAATTTATTAATTCAGTGAAGTCCGCACCGAGTGGGGCTGGCTTCAGGGAGGAGGTTACACTGAAGCTGGACCTTGGGCACAGAGAAGAGTTTTCCACATGTTAGACGTCCATAGAATCCCCACACATGATTTGAGTGTGATCTGTTTTCAGATGACTCCAAAATAATTTAAAGAGGGAGTTACAAAAGAAGCAACTGTTCTTTTGTTTGCTAAACATCTGGAAAATTTATGTTCCTCCCCCACCCCACTAATTTGACTAGTTTCATCAGAATCCAGATGTGAGCAGGAAGGTGCGTTCTCTGATAATTTTGGCTCAAATTTCCCCCTGCAGGCTTAGGCCAGTCTGCATGTTCATTCCCAGCTGGCAAATCCACTCTTGGGACAAGGTGGCCAATCTGTCTATGCCACCACAGGCACCTAATGGACATATTTGTATTTTACCAGATAATTCCCATAAAATTTTTATGTTGAGTCACAGCACATCT